ATAAACTTTGCTGACAAGTGGAGGTCACTGTCAGGCTGAGTCAGTAGGTGATTTCCACAGTACGTGAATGTGATATGACCTAGTGAAGCTCTTGTCCCAAAGACTGAAGTCTTAAAGTATTTCCTTTTGTACTTACTGAGATGCTGGGTTTTTTTTTTCTATGAGTTACAGGTGTAGCAGTGGATTCCTACTGTGGTTATATGTTCACTTTGATGCGTGGAGAGGAATTGAATGCCTCTGCTTTCCTCTTTGCAGGACAGAAATGGAATGCATGAATTATTTGTTGAGCTGAATAACAGGGACTTGCCAAGATCAGTGCACATTAATTATTAATGTCAGTCCTTTATGAGTAGTAATAACACAGACATGATCAATCTTGAAATAAAGAAACTCTATAGAAAAATTTAATAAGCTTCATTAGAAGAAGATCTGCAAATGTTGAGTTGAGGAGGTCAAGCTTTAAAATGTCCTTTGAGTTGTCTGGTGCATCAAAGTTCAACTCTTAAACATCCTGGAGAAAGAAAACAACAAGACCCAGAGTCCATCTGTTGTTTATTCTGTTGGGTCTTACTGTACAGCAGGAGTTTGGGGAGAAGTATTGAACAGGGAGAAAATGAGGATTGGTGTCAATGAAACGATAAATAGGTGAACTGATGCCCTAGTTATGTCACTAAGCATGACAGAAAGGCACCTCTTGCTCCCCAGTTTTCAGCGGTGTGTGGCATCTGGAGGAAAAATCCAATGACAATTTTGCTCTGCGCCATACTGGATCTGAGCCACCGATTCCTCCAGCTCCCAGTGCAGGAGCCAAGGAAAGCTTCAGAAATGACTCCCAGCAGCACGTCCAGAGTGGAGCCATTTTTAGCTTTTCTCATGCTGAAAGCTGTCTCCCCTTTGAGACTAGAGCCAAAGATAGAAGAAATGAGCAAACCTCCTGTAAGAAGTTAGAGGTTGCGATGGTTTCTCTGATATTTTATTCCTCGGCACAACTATTTTCTTCCTGAAGCATCTGTGATAAAATGTTAGTTGTCTCTTAGTTCAGTGCAAAGACTGGAGAGAGTATTTAATGGCTGAGACCTTCTGTGCTGACTGTATTTCTCAGTGAGATTGGGGAAAGAAAGAGGAAAAACAGGTTAACATTTCCTAATGTAAACTTTCTCAGTTTTGGCCAGGGTACATTATAGTTGCATTAGACTCATATCCCGTTATAAGCGGGAGGTTTCCCCTTCCTCTCTGCTGGGATTTGCAGGGGATTTGTTCTAACCAGCCTATTCAGTACAATGAGAAACAGCTCTTTTGTGGCAGAAATACCTTCTCTTTTCCCAGGGGCTGTACCACAACTGCTTGAGGTCTCTTGCTCCAAACGGATGAGCCCCTTGGAGTGTGGGAGCTCCCACCGGCTGCGGAAGGGAGGGATGTGCACAGGTTTCCTTGTACAGAGCTGCTGTCTAGTTTCCAGCAGGCAGCTCTCTGTGCGGTGATGAGCTGTACAGCCTTGAAGTTGCCCAGTGGTTGGTCTTGTGGTCACTGGTGCAACCAGCTGAGGAGAGAACAGGGTTTCTCCAACTGAAAAGCCATCCATCTCCTCAGCCCTGTCCCCTCACCACTGGTCCCCTGGGCTGGGCAGTGGTGACTAGGAGCCAGGTGGTCCTCTGAGGCGCTTCAGCATCTTTTGTGAGCTCATGTTGCTCCTCTTGCCCCCGCAGCCCAGCCTTTGCCTTGCGATGGGTGAATCGTGCGCCTTCTCCGTACGCCTGTCAGATGAAAAGAACTACTTTTTCCTCTCTCCTTGAGAGATGGCCTTGTCAGGCTGAGCTGCCTCAGGGCTTGTCTCAACAAACCTGCTACATTGGATTAGCTCCCATTTCTTCACGTGAAAGGGCTGTGCACGCATATACATTTTCTTTAAGATTGAATTATTTGATAGCAGGAGTCGCGGTTTATAATCTCGTGAAGGGTAGGTGTTGCTCTCTCGTGAAAGGGCGCTCTTGTGAAAGCTGCTCCATGCCTTTGAACAGGGAAATACTCCAACGGCTTCTCTGTCCTCCCACAGAGTTGATTGAGGATGATGTGACTGCGGCCTCTTAAATCCTGAATGGTGTGGAGAAGGGGGCTGGCGAGCAGTTGTTTGTTGTTTCACTCGACACATAGTAGGGAAAACCAAATTAAAGGGAGGAGCGTGGTGCTTGTCCCAGCTGTGTTTTTGTAAGTGGTGCCACTGTTCCGTCAACGAGGGATTTGATGAACCGTTTCCACAGAGCACTGAAGATGCCATGTGTGGTTGGAGCAGGGAGTGTGTCCAAGGAGATCGAGAGCAGGGAATGTGGGGAGCCCAGCCCAGTGTCTCTAGCCTGGCAGGCTGTTGACTGATGAGTGGATGGTGCCTTCTGGGCACTGATGGAGAGTTGCTACATGTCCAGAGCCTGACTACTGTGGTGTCTCTTGCCACTTCTCTTAGTTTTTTCCACATTTCTGAAAATTGTCAAACTTGACAGCAAAAATCCATCCCACGATGAAACAACACGACAGTGTTTCAGTAGCTGTCAGAGCTTCCTGGTGCGGAAGTCTAACGGTAAAGGTCCCCCTCCTGCCCTGCCCTCCCCACAGCGCTTTGTCAGCCCTGCTTCAGGAGCGTGGACCACTGCGGAGTTGCATAATCCTTAAGTATGGTTTTGGAGATCAAATCACGTGTGTGCCTATAAGCCTGACATCAGGAAATAATCTCCCTGCCAAGGACGCCTCTCACTTGGTTTGCATACACCGCTGCTTTTTCCACAGTAATTCTGCCTCCCTTAATCCCCATTCATCGTTTCTGCTTTTTGGAGAAGATTCCAGCGCTGTCGGCTGGAACAAGCACAGACTACTTGTCCTTTTCATCAGACCATCTGTTCCATCTGGACTCCTGTCCTTACAAGAAGCAGTTGGCACCATTTACATCTTCCAGCCAGCAGAAAGTTGCCTCTGTGTGAGGCAGAAACTCCCAGGGAATTCAGAAATCCTCCCTTCTGTCGTTTTGCCATTCAAAGCAGCACTGCTCCCTAGCTCTGCTCATATTTAACACGGCGAAGCACTTGGTAATATCTTCACTCTTTTACCATCTCATGTCATTCTGTCAGTGTTAACGCTATGTTTCTTCTAGCGAAGACGGTCATTCCTCTCTCCTCCACCCTCCTCTTTCCTGGCAGGCTTTAGTGCCGTGACACGAGTGGGGTTACGCAGCGCAGGGTGGGTGTATCCGCTGGCCGAATGTCATCGAGATGCCACGTTAGTGGCTGGGTGTGCTGTGTTTCAAACACAGAGTTGTAGGTGTTTGGATGGGCAACCCCTGCTTATGGGAAAATGCCCTAGCAGTTCAGATCTTCCCCTTCCAAAGGGAAAGCCTCAGTGTGTGAATTCAAAGTTGCCTTTGCTGGCCCTGTGTAGCTGGCATGAGATGGAGTATAAAAGCGTGTTCTGTCTTAAAAATTTCCCTGAATCTCTTACACGCTTCTCCTGGCCCCTCTGACAGTTAGTGTTGCTCCTGCTGGAAACAGCGCTTTAAACCAATCTACAGTGGTCAGTGATTAGCAGGTTCAGGATGTGTTTAAGCAATAGTCTTGGCCTCACCTGAACAACTGCCCTGAAGAAGGAGGGAGACAGAAACAAGAGGTGGCTTAGAGGGTGTTTTGGCTGCCCAGAAGCCAGTGTGATTTACAGGTGACCTTGTGTATCCTCTGCAGAGAGCAGCTCCCTGCCCTGGTTGCTGCTGCTGCTCCCCTGTCACCCTGTCCTGCAGCCCCGGAGGCTCCGGGGCACAGGCTGCTGGATTCGACCCCGCTCCAGGGCCTGCCAGGCTGTGAGACGGAGAGCGTGGGGCAGCAGCACAGGAGGAGGCTTTGCAGGCTGGTGTGTGGGCAAAGCTCCTGCACCCCAGGGCTGACTTGCTCCCCTGGCCTGTGTCGCCCCATCAGGGATCCTGGCATTTGCAGGCAAGCAGCCAGGGCCCTGCTCTGTCCCACCCATCCCTTGGCAGGGGCTCTGGAAATGCTGCGCCTTCTCAGGCTGTTTAGATTTTTGTCTTTTCTTACGTTGCTCTTTTCCTGGAATCCTTGAGAAAGGCCTGGTGGGTCATGCAGGCTGGCTGCTGTTAACTCTCACAATCCCCATCCAAACCGTGGCAGTGGTGCTGTGCTTTGTGCACCCGCTCCCTGTTTGGGGGAAATGGTACCCCAAAAGCCCAGACTGTGAGATGCCATGTCAGTGAAGGGCTTGCTGTGATCAGCCATGAGTCTCTGGATGGTTCGGCTCATTCTTCCATCGACAGAGAGAACCTCATGCTCTGCCGGGTCCCTCTCCCCTCCTCATGCCGGTGTTCTCCGGTGGGTGTTGTAGATGGGGCTGATGCACTGATGTAGCACAAGGGATTGGAGCAACGCCAGCGTCTGGTGCTGACTCGTCTTCTCCCCTTTGGATTGCAACCGAGATCAACGAGTAGAGCAACTGGAGTTGTGGCTGTTCTGGCGGTAGCTGGCATCGAACGGTGACGGAGCACAAGATCTTAGCTGACTCCCAGGCAGCTCAGCAGTTCAAGGTGTACATTGACTTTCAAATGTTAATGAATCCTGCTGCCTCTGGAAAGATGCTTGATATATGATCCTGGCAATGAGAGCCCGCTCAGTTCCCAGAGCAGTGGGTATTTGCCCTGCCCTGCCTGTCAAGGGGGAGAAGTCCTTTCTGGGGCCCAGAGAGAGGAATTTGCCTGCTTGCAGGGGAGCGGCTTGGAGATTTGAACAGGAGAGGATGGGGAGGAGTTTCCTCTTCTTGAATTAGGCATTTCATGCAAGTTTGGAACTGTTGCAGAGCTCTAAACCTACAAAAATAAGAAGCTCTTTTCTTCCTAGCAAAGGAGGAAAATGCTGAAGCTGTCTTGGTCGGGAGCTGAGGGCTCGGGGAGGGAGGGGAAGGCGGCTTCAGCCAGGCAGTCTCCCTGTGGTCCCGCAGCGGGCTGGAGGAGCTGCTTTAGCAGCGGGTGGGGTTCAGCCAGCTCCCTGACTTTCAGCAAAAGGCAGCTGAGAAATCACAGTTTCCCCAAAACCCGTCAGCCCTCACAGGGCAGAAAACCCAGCTGTAGCAGAATGTCAGAGCCTTTGAGCTCAGAAAGCTGGCTCTGTTGTCTGTGCAGAGAGGGAGGCTGCCCTGTGGAATGAGTGCACAGGGGGATTTGTTTTGTTCTTCCTGGGATGTATCTAAAACAAATATAAGCCTGCTCTCCGTGATTTGTCTCTTCCTGCCACTCAAGAAAATAGTTCCCCGTTGATAGATGGAGCCCGAACAGCAGTTCAATGCTGCAGAACGTTTGGAAACAGGTTTTGGATTGGAGTATTGTATGGCTTGTGTAGCCCCTAATGTGTCGGAACCAGGTACTATAGGAAATGCCTCCTCCCAGTCTAGGGCGCTGATACCCCAACTCAATCTGTTGTGTGTACAAGAAACCAACTGCCCAACTTGCTGTAGGGACTGGAACCAACTCTCAGTGTTTCTACACAGAAAGAGGCTATTTCTGTGGCTGCTTATTAGAGACATTGATCTGGAGCATCTATTTTTGGAAATGGGAATGAGCTCCATTCCCCCTCCCACTATTTAATGAAAACAGCACCTTCTGTAGTGTAGTTGTGGGTTTATGCAGGATCGGAATGGTGCTTTCCCCTTTGCCTTTTCACGTCTTTCTTTTCATCTCTAACGATATTAATGGCCATTAGACTGTAAAATGTAATTTGCCTGGAATACAGACCTCCCATTGTACATGGCTTTCTGCTTGACAGACAATCCCTTTGGAGCATGAGATCTGCTTTCATCTGCTACAGTTTCACCCCTGTTAATGTTTGGAAGCTGAAAGGCCAAGCCGTATTAATATTCAACAGACAACTGTCTTTATCTCCAACAGGGGAAACTGGCCTTGGTAAGTCCACCCTCATGGACACACTTTTCAACACCAAGTTTGAAGGTGACCCAGCATCTCACTCGCAGCCTGGGGTCCAGCTGAAATCCAGTACCTATGACCTGCAGGAGAGCAATGTCAACCTCAAACTGACTATTGTGAGCACAGTTGGCTTTGGGGATCAGATCAACAAAGAGGACAGGTGAGTGAAGGGGGAGAGGGTGTATTGTGACCTGGTTTTCTCACGCTGGGTCTTCCGTGTGCCCTAGTTGGGCTAGGCTGTGCTCTGAAGTTTTCTTTCTTCTTATGGGTGGTCCTCATTATCTCTTTGGGATGAGACAGGCAAAAGAGAGGACAGAGGCTGTGGTGTGTCAGCACTGCTCCAGCTATCGAAGCAGCTTTTCTGATGCTGTGAGAGCAATACCTGCCTTGGTGGCAGCCTTCTGCCCAAATTCATCTGGTGGGGAGAGCGGAGAGCTCCAGGGCATCTGTGCTTGTTTCCTTGTGCTGTGCTGACCACAAGCTGCTGACCAAACCACCACTTAGCAGCCGCCTCTGGAAGGGCACTTAAGAGAGCATGATAAATGTGCAGTGAGATGCCCTGGGGAAGTATCTGTGGCAGCTCACGTCCCAGTGTGACTGGAGCGTGGCAGTTCAGGGGTGTGCGATTCCACCAGACCGTCTCCAAGGTGCACCTTCACAGAGGCCTTGCAGATGGGATTTAGGCATTGCTTTGTTGCGAGTCTGTTAGATTTGAGTTTTGTTTAAGATGTACCTTTACACCATGGGTCTGACAGGCTCTGTATTTCAGTGGGAATTGCAGAGATTTCCTGCCCCAGAGCACTGGGCAAAGGAGGTGCTGAATGGAGATGTGTCTTCCACCTGCAACTCAGGGCTGGGAGAGCAGTTTGCTCCCTGAGTGCAAGCAAGGGTTACACCCTGCTGTGAATGAGTCTGCATTATCCTTCCTTTTAAAGGTCTCTCACCTCGCTCAAAGTGTGAGTCTGCTTTCCCTGGAGAGGATGGTGTGTCCTCTGTGCACTGCTGTATCTTCCGCACTGTGTTGTGTCAAACAGGCTGTTAGAATCTGGTGCAGGACCACATCTCCTTGTCAGTAGTGCAACTTTAATATTTCTTATGGGTGAGGAGGACGGGAGATTGAGACAATTGGTCTTGGGAAATGAAATCTAACAAGCAGCTTGTTTCTTAAAAGCAAGCAAAAGAGCACTGTCTCTTTACCTCTCTGACTCTCTCTTTTTTGTTTTCTCTTCACTGAAGCTATAAGCCCATTGTTGAGTTCATTGATGCTCAGTTTGAAGCCTACTTGCAAGAAGAACTGAAGATAAAAAGGGTCTTGCACAACTACCATGACACGCGGATCCACGCCTGCTTGTACTTCATTGCTCCGACAGGCCACTCGCTGAAATCCCTGGACTTGGTAACAATGAAGAAGCTTGACAGCAAGGTAGGCACGTTTAACTCTTACTGAGCGGGTTCACCCTGCGTGTGGCGGAAAGGCTGCTGCTTTTCCAGAGCACTTCTCCCCACCTTGAAGAGCCCTTATGCTAGTGGAGATGACTGCATTGGCAGATAAATCCATTGGATTTATTGAGCACTTTTAAGTTGTTGTAACTTGTACTGCAGACTTGGAAAACCTCCCTGGAGCAAAGCTTCTTATCACACTGTTCCTTTCTAGGTGAACATCATTCCCATCATTGCCAAATCTGATGCCATTTCCAAGAGTGAGCTGACCAAATTTAAAATTAAAATCACGAGTGAACTGGTCAGTAATGGGGTTCAGATCTACCAGTTCCCAACAGATGATGAATCAGTGGCGGAGATAAACGGGACAATGAATGTAAGTGAATCGGTGCTTCCTCCTCTCCCAGAACAGCACTGTCACTGTAGGGGTTGGTGGCCCATATTGGGGTGCTTCTTAAATCCACTTTCCCTTCTATATTGTGTCTTAAAACCAGAGGATTTCACAGGGATCCCATCTTTGTAGTCTCATCCTAGGCTCACAGAGCCTTGTGGTAGCCTCTCTGGTGGGCTTCTCTAGTCAGAAAACAGACTGTTAACCCTTCTCCTCATGCTGAGGAACATGTAGGAAGTCGGACAGATGGTGAAGCCTGGCTGTGCAGGGCAAGGACAGTCCTGGGCTGTGAGCTGATCGGGTGGGTGTTACCCGCCTGGTGTGAGGAGCAGGCTGTCTACTCCTTGCCCTGCCTTTTTCACACCAAACGGTTTTGCTCTCCTGGGCTGGTATTTTCTGGAAAGCCCTGCCTCCCTGGGTGTCTCCTCTTGCCTGTGGCCATCTTTGCAGCAGACCCCCTTCCGCTGGCTGGCTCTGGGACTCCTGTCTGCACTGAGTTGCTGTTCTATTATCGATCAAGTTCCTTAGCTGTGTCCTTGGGCTGGTTTGGCCTTTTGGCTCTGGTGCCGTTGGTCAGAACGGATGGGCAGGGGAGTACGAAGAGGCTGGTTAGAGCAGTGGCTTCCCTTGAGCTACGTCTAGTGGTGATGTGAGAAACAAAACACAAGGCCCATCCAGCCCAGTGGCCCTTCTCTTCCCTAAAGACCTGATTTTGGTCACTTTTGGAGTATATAAGAAGAGAGGGAATGTGTACGATGCTTCCCTTCCCCCAGATACTTCCCCAGCATTCAGCTCAAGGGTTTCTCTAGATTTCTGTCCCACATATCACCTGATGCCCCTCACCAGCGAACTTCCCCTGTGGATCCTGTGGCAAGGAGTTACACAGCTTAATCAGCAGTGTGTGAAAAACAGTACGCAGCTCGGACCAGACATGTCTCGAGGTGCCTGCAGGTGCTAGTTCTGGATCTGGCGGTCCCAGTGTCGTGGGTGCCTGTCTGAGGCTCCCTGAAGATGGAGCAAGCTGTCCCTTGGTCCCTCCTGACCGTGCTCCCGTTTTCCAGAAGGCTTTTTATAGGAAAGCAAGTAGGGGAAGTTGCTTGCTTAAATGCTGTTGATGAAGTAGCGGTCTGGCTGATGTGCTTTGGTGTCGTTTCTTGATCTAATGTTAATGGTAGCAGAGGGTTGTGGAGACGCCTGAAAGAAACAAGAAGTTGGTCACAGCGTAAGGGCTGTCAGCGGTGGTTCCTGGTCAGAGCAGTTTTGTGATGGCATCTTTCTCAGTGCTTAGTGCTCTCGCTCTGTAGGAATACAGTTGGTTACTCCTGGAAATGAAGGTGTAACATCACTCGATCCTCAAGGAACCAGAGGTGTGATGACAAAGGGAGAAGTCCTCTCCCTTGGCCCTTCTGAGGGCGGAAGGAAACCTCTGCTCGTCTTTCAGCCATTTACATGTCTTCTGAGAGGGAATTGCTGTCTCAGGTTGTAGACATTCTGAGTTGTGTCAGCTGCTGCACAGAGAGATTAGCTCTCTAAATCCTCCATTAAACTGATACAAATCATAATTACCAGGTTTATGGGGACTAAGCAGGCCAGAATCTGATCAAGGCAATTTTGCAAACCTGGAAAACTTGTATCCAAATACTGATTTTATTAGCAACATAAGATAAATCTGCTTATGCTTCAGGTCAGGAGATGAGCTTATGGAGGGATTGGGACCAGTAAAGAGCCAGGATGGGTAGATTTAGGTTTGTGACTTAAATTGCCAATTTTAGTCACATTTAAAATCAAGGAATGGGAAACTGATTTAAATCCTTTGCCTTAACCTTTGTGTTTGTACTCCTCTGCAGAAAGCTTCATTGTCTTTGCCTGTTACAGATCAACATCTTTGAAAGGTTATAAACGCAGTCTTTATGCTTTAGTAGTGCTTCTTGCTGACCAGCAACCTCTCTGCATCGGTTCGTTTTTAATTACAGAGAAAATTGAGACTGGTCTTTTGATTACTTAATGTTTTGCTTATAACCTGCATTAGTTGTCTTTTGCACGATAAGTAAAATGAGGCTTTAAAATATGCAAACTCACTATTTCTTATGCATTTTGCTTCATTACATCCACTTGTGCTGGGTGTGTTAGAATTTTTTTCGCAGAGTATTTTGCATTCTAAATTGGCTTACTAAACAGAAAACATTGCCTGATGTGGCAGGAATTGATTAACTGAAGGATTTAAGATCGGTGCCATCGTGATCAGAAACAAAAGTATTTCACCATGAACAAAGGCGTCGAGTGAAGTATTTAGAAAATAAGCAGATGAAACAAATCATCAGAACAAGATGCCTGATTTTCCTTGAAACCGATTTGGTCTTTTTGAGAATCCCACCAAGCATACATTTACAGGTTCAGAGAAAACACTGTCCAAAATTATTTAGGTCTCTTCCCATCTGGATTTTATTCTTAAAAAAGAAAAACAAGCTCTCCTATTCTTTCAACTCCCTATTGGCTTTTTCCTTTTGAATAAATTAGCCTAATTACTGAAGAAATACTCTCCCTGCACCTGCTAGTTAAATGAAACCAGATGCAGCTACATGAGCCATCCCACATGGTGGAAGCTGGAACTTCCTTGCTGATGAAAGAAGGAATCACCAGCACTTTTTCCCTGTCGAAGACAGCAGCCGAACAGTTGATACTGGCAAAGGAAGTGACTCCTGTGAGCAGAGGGAGCTCGGCATGGAGAATGACCAGGAAGGCCGCGGTGTGCAGAGCCTCTTCATGGCCCAGGATGGCCCCGTCACACTGACCGCCAGCCCCACTTCCTCTGCGTGTGTCCCGTGCGAGAGCTGAGGGGCCAAGGGATGAAAGCTGAAGAGCCCATCTTTATGAGTGCTTGCAGGCAGTTTTGCTGTATTTGCAGTTTTACTGTATGAGCCACACTCTGAAAGCAGAAAGCATCATCTCTGAAATCTTTTGTTTTACCAGCTGTCATGAACTTGTCCAAGTTCTCAGATAACCTGTGGAATTAAAACTTCACTACCTGCTCATGAGAGCAGTCCAGAGTCACTGTTCTTCAATATAGTTGGCTTCCTTTTAATTGCCCAGAACTCAGTGCACTTTAAAGGCTCTAACTAACAGATGTCACTGCACAAAACTCAGCAGAAGGGGTGGGTGCAGGGAGCTGGCAACTTTAAGTGCTGGAACCGTGCAGTTGACTTCTTTGCAGCTTGATAGAATGCAGTATAGTTCCCAGGAGCAAGCAGAGGTGGGGAGAGATGTCACTTACTACACAACAGATAAATGCAGCAGAGTACTATAGCAGCGTCTGAGGGGTTTGCCTGGCCACCTGAGTTTGGGGAATGAGGAGGGTGTAAGGTGAGGTCGTCTGAGGAGTGCTTCTGTTCCAACTCTGCTGAGCTTGCACTGGGCGAGTCTCTTACTTTTTGCCTTCTGCAGTGGCATTATCTTCTTTACTAAGAAGTGACTATTTTTTAAGTCTGAGTTTTTGAAAAGCAAATCCCTCTTGTTCTTAGCCTTTAGGTACTTGTAACAAGTGTACTCTGTGGAGTGTGTGTCATCTCGAAGAGCGTGACAAGGCACGGTTGAGCTAGCGGTACAGCTCTCCACAATCCCTCCTCATGGGTGCAATCCCTGGATTTGGCCTCCTTTATCCTTTAGCTATGCAGCCAGCTAGCAGTGACTGTGCATAGCATCAGCATCATGAGGATTTTTTAAAGCTATTGGCACACCTTTGGGTTTCTCAGAACCAGTTTTGCTACAGGAGTGCTGTGACATTTGGGAGAGTGGGTGCTGAGGGTGAGCCCCAACACAGACGCAGGATGCGTGAGGCACTGTGGGGTGTTAGCACAGGGCAGGCCCAGCACAGCCCCAGGGAATGCAGAGTCCCAGCTCAGCCTGGCGCAGACCTCACGGCGCACATGGATGCGAAGGCTGACCCGCTGCAGGTCTGGAGGTGAAAAAGGGACTTGGATCTCATGGTCTGATAGAACAAGTTGTCTTGTGCTCCAGTGTGAGCTAAGGGAGTGGTGGGGGGATAAAATCAAGAAGGCTCCAAGACCTTTTATTGCTTCTGTGCTTGTGCAGATGTTCTCCTCAGCCATGGCAAGCCCCCAGGAGAGACGGCAGTCAGAGCCGCGCAGCACGCTGTTCGAGCTGGCATTCTGATGCTGGTCTTGCACTGGCTCATCTCACCTGAGACCCTGTGGCTGGGAAGATCAGCCAGGTAGAGGATATAGAGTAGTAGCACTAACAAGGTTTCCAAAAAGGACCTCCCTTCTTTCCCCTTGTCTTGGGCTAGTGGCCGGTGACTAGACTCCCCAAGATTAGTGTGTGCATAATGAGTGTCTTGCTCAGTGGCTGTGCTAATCTCTGTGTACTGGCAGGTCAGCCAGAGTGGAGAGGGACTGACGTGGGTATCATTACATATGTTGCAGGCCCATTTGCCGTTTGCAGTGATCGGGAGCACGGAGGAGCTGAAAATAGGAAATAAAATGATGAAAGCTCGTCAGTACCCCTGGGGCACAGTGCAGGGTGAGTTGAGCCCTGGGATTTTCATGGCATGAATGGTGACATTTCTGCCAGGAGGCAGAGGACTCTCGTAAGAGGAGCAAAGGCCTGCTGGGCATCAGTATTTCACTGGGAATTATCCTCTGTTAAATCCTTGTGTCAGGCCTATCTATAGTGACAATTTTCTCTGCTTAGAGGGGCTGTTAAATCTGTTGGAGGAATAGACAGGTGGGGAATGTGGGAAGACACCTTTGTTTCTGCCCCCATCTTACTCCTTATGTTGTCTTCTTACAGTGGAGAATGAAGCTCACTGTGACTTTGTGAAGCTGCGGGAGATGCTGATCCGCGTGAACATGGAAGACCTTCGCGAACAGACCCACACACGCCACTATGAGCTGTACCGGCGGTGTAAACTGGAAGAGATGGGCTTCAAGGACACTGATCCAGACAGCAAACCCTTCAGGTGGGATCCCTGGAGGAGACAGGAGAGCTCGAGAGAGGCAGCGTTGGATGTGCTCTGTGTGCGTGTGTGTCCTTGAGAGAGCGTGTAAAGAACCAATGCAGCAAGAAAACCTGCCAGGTCAGATAAACCCAGACTTCAGCAAAGGTGCTGGCTGAGCGAGAGAAGGTGAAAACGCAGAGGGCGTGTGCAGGATTGACTGTGAAACTACAGTGTAGGAGTAGAAATGTCTGTACTGAAGAGATACAGCAGTGTCCCTCTGAACTGGTGTTTGTTGCCTGCTGGTCTCTTTGAATTGCCCAGCATTTGTCATGCAGAAAAGTGCAATAGCTTGCAGACCCCAGAAACGGTTTGGTACAGATGACCTTGGGCACACGTGGGTGGGTGAGTAGCAAATGTGCTGTGGGTGAGCAATATTCATGGTGAGGGCCTGATTTCAGAGGCTCGGAGGAAGCAGAGTTTGTCCCAAGTCATATCACTGGACTTTCTTTTTAGCTTACAAGAAACTTATGAAGCCAAAAGAAATGAATTTCTGGGAGAACTGCAGAAAAAGGAAGAGGCAATGAGGCAAATGTTTGTCCAGAGGGTCAAGGAAAAAGAAGCAGAGCTGAAGGAGGCTGAAAAAGAGGTGAAGACTGCAGTACTTGTCTTTTCATGGTTGTGAGTGAAGATCCACTCTCAAGTAGGTAGCTGCTGCCAGAGCACTTTCTGCAGTGTGGTTTAGGACTTTTCTTACCAGCAAGTCTGCAGTTTAACCTGGGGTCATGGGGACATTAAGGTATTCATCTTGTAGGACAAGACTAGATCCCAGTGCTTGCAGTGTACGACCTACTGCACCATGAAAGTGCCATAGTCTTGATTCTAGTGGGGAGTTGCACTGTGGCAAAATTAATGGAAAGAAACAGCCCCTGATACAAGCTTGTTATAGAAAAAATATACCCATACAACTTCCTTAGCACTGGGAAAAATCCATTGATTTCCCGAACTTTAAAGAGGATTAAGGCAGAGCCCCCTGGAAATGGATTAACATTTTTTTAATTATATTCTCCCAATTCTCCGTTGTTAGTCGGTGCGATGGTGCATCGCTAGAACACTCCCCAGTTTGTAAGCTGTTGTGGCAGGAAACTGTTTCCTGCCCTCTGCCCACGCAGTGTCAGCTCAGGGGGCTAGAAATGATGTAGAGACCAACGGAGACTTGCAGGCTCAGATCTCATGGGATCCTTCCATCTTCTTCTCCACAGGAGAAGCTCCTGTGAACAGAATATCTGGTAGTGCTGGGTCCTGCTCACCTCTCTCCTTTCCCTCTAGCTGCACGAAAAGTTTGATCGCCTGAAGAAGTTACATCAGGATGAAAAAAAGAAGCTTGAGGACAAGAAAAAGTCTCTGGATGATGAAGTAAATGCATTTAAACAAAGGAAGACAGCAGCTGAATTGCTCCAATCTCAGGCTCAGCAGGCTGGAGGATCACAAACTCTTAAAAGGGATAAGGAAAGAAAAAAGTAAGTTGCTAATGCAGTGGTATTTGCTTTTTGGGAATGGTTCTCTTTACTCTTTCTCTGGGTGCTCATATCTCTCTCCCAGCCTAGCCAGTCCTTAGCAGGGGAAGGTTTGCAGCAGGTTTAATTCCTAAGAAGGCTGAGCAATAGCTGGAAGCATTGTACCTTTAGCTGTCATCCTGAAGAGCAGGGAGCAGTGCTAACCTCCCTCATTGCTTCCTGACAGCATGGAAGAGGATGAACTTCTTAGATTCCCTGCTCTTCCCTTGGCCTGGCAGTGCTTGTAATGAAGTGGAACAGTATTGGCTGCCAAGGCTAGTGTGTGGGTAGCAGGATTGTCCTGCTACCTGCAGAGAGTAAAGTGTCCTGTCTCTGGGTTTGATTTGGTTAGGCTGAGAAATAGCTTATACTGTGGAAATTATACAGGGAGACTAATAGCCTTGTGTTCTGGAATCTGCAAGAGGTGAGGCTGCAAAATGAGGGAACAGGTCATAGCTCCTTGTTAGTGCTAGTACTCTTCTCCTGCCCTGAGTCAGCTGTTTGCCCTCCACAGAAAGAGTGAGAGCTGCTGCATGGCGTTAGCAGAGTTCCCCATGCCAGGGTGTGGTGGGAGAGGATCCAGCCCCTGTCAGGGTCCTGTGATCAGGGGTGTCTGCAGTGCCCGTGTGCTCCGAATGCTCTGCGGTTTCTGAAGAGCTGCCAGCTGTACGGCTGCACCAGCCCTCCCGCTTCACCTAACACCGAGCAGTTCTCACTGTGATGCGTTTCCCAAAACGGCGTGCTGTGCCACCTCAGCATGTGTGCAAAGGGTCTGGTTTCTGTACCACTGCCATAATCCCCTCTCTGCACATCCCTGGGGCACATCCGGAGTAAATCCTGCCTGCGCTACACGGTCTTAAGTACATGGAGAAGTGCTGTGAATGATACAGCACATGCCCGAAGAGCTGAGCGCTGTGTGCCAGGGAAAACAGCCCCTGACTGTTCAGACAGGAATCAAATGAGACAGGAGAGGAAAAACTCAATAACCAGAACGAGGTCCTGGTTTAGTCTTTTCAGTTTTGAGCTGGAGCTGCTTCAATGTCCACATTCTTTTGCGATGAGCAATTAGTGCTGCTCTTTGATCGCTTGTCCGTTCCGCTGCGTATTTCGATTTGCTCTTTTGAATTACCTTCAGTGGGGTTTAATTGCTTTTCACACTGAGGGCCTGAGGCTGGCTGGGGACAGCCTTCTCTCCCCAGCATGGAGTGTGTGAGGAACACACCACTGAGTTCTTCCATGCTCGGAGCCCTCTGACGTCCGCACACTGCGAACTGCAGACTTCAGCCCTGAGATCAGTAGGGGCAGGAATCCAAAAAAGGGAGATGACATGCCCTATAGCATTCGTCACTGGCCCAGGTCACACTCTTGTTCCTAGAAGCAGTTCTTACCTCAGAAGATCCCCTTGACACCAAGCACATTCATATGGAAGAGAAAATGCCATGAAAGAGAATAGGTCAGTGCTTGAGTGAGGCTTGGGAAGATTTTAGGAGGCCTCTCTCTCCTCCAGGAAAATAGCTGTGTTAGAAACAGTGCTGCTTTCTTCACTCTGTAACACCTCCAATTGTCCTTAATAATTCATTTAGTATTTAGATCATAAATATTTCTAACACTCCATTAATTTCACAAACCATAGCTTACTTGTTTACTAGTGGCTGGCCATATACTACCCTTTTTCTTTCACAGGAGACTCTTTTAAACCCGAATTCTGTAATTTGCACTAATCATGACTTGATTTCTTTGTTTTGTTTTGTTCCATCATTATCATCATAATTAGCTCTTCCATGTATGCTGTTTTACAGTTAGCTGCTGTTTGGCTGCATGGTGCATGAGGCACGTTGTCCTGGTAAGCGTCATTAACTAATATAGACCTCACAGTGGGATCAGTTACAGTTCCTAAAAAAGCAGACCCAGTGCAAGTCCAGAAGCTTACAAGTACTATCTCTGTCCTCCTCTGCTTTCACCCTTATGGTACATGCTCTACCAGTCTCTCTGCATATGCAGTTAGAGAAAAAGGAGTGTCTCTGCATATGCAGTTAGAGAAAAAGGATGCAATGAAGTTTGTCTTTAAGGATTCTGCAGAGTAAAATGCAGAGAGACTCAACGTTAGGACATGAAACGTAGAAACATAAGGATTAGGTCCTCTTCCTTTTAAACCTTGCCAGCACTCCATTTTCTTTATTCCATCTCCCTTAGAAATAAATTATATTCTTTAATCGCCTGGGGCCTGTTGATACTATGGCAACAATTGCTATGGAGATGTGGTGCTGATGGCAGAACCCAGCTAGCCATGCAAATGTCTCTTCCCCTTCTTCTCCTTTCCTCCCACCCCTCCAGGTTACAGCATTAACTTCTGGTTACAGTGCAGATGAAGGTAGATTAAGGTAGATGCAAGACTCTCTTCTGTTCCCCCCGCTTCACGTACTAACAGATGGTAAAATCCGCCAAACCTAGAGCTTTGCTTTGTCCCAGAGCACCAGAGAATCACCAGATTGTGTGAGTGTCTATGTATGGGGGGGGTGTCAAAGGAGCGGCAGCTGAGTGACCAGTATTCACCTGCCCACCATTTATGGTTGATTGTCCAAAACCACGAGGGATGATGGGCGGAGCATTTAGCAGGTAACAAAGACCCTGAAGACGTACTGAGAGGGTTTGTGACGCTTTTAGTAGTCAGATGGGTGACCCACGGGTTGGATGTTGGGTTGTAGCAGACACAGACTCACGCTCCTGGGAGCCATGCCAAGTGTGCCCACGGTTAGGGTAAGGCTGGTGGTAGGAGAGGGCTGTATTCAAACTCTGCCCAGACAGCCTGCCAGAGCACTTGGCCCCCGAGTAAGGCCAGCATCCAAGCTTCCGAGGAACCTTGCCAAAGCGTGGAGAGCTCCCACTGGAGCCGGGCGCTGTCAGTGGGGTTACACTGCGAGTCTGCTCAGCTCCCGTTGCTGTGGCTCTGTCCCAAGCATCTCTGCCTTCGAGTGAGCAGGGCTGTAAGGTGGCCACGTAGTCATGGGCAAGCTTGTGGAACAGGTGAGGTTGCCTGAAGGGGTTAACAAACCTGGCTGTAAGCAAGTGTCCGCAGCACGAAGTGCCAGCGTCTGGTGTAAAATGAAGGGTCGTTTAAACCAAGATGCAGAAGGTATGCACCTCCCTGGCAAGAGAGCTACATCCTCATTAGGGTTATTAGTTAAACTGCTAATGACAGTGCTCTACTTATAGCGAGGTTGAGTGTGTTTAATTGAGCCTTTTTAATTTGCTGTTGATTCTCTGGTGAGAGGAAAAAGAAAGCTCCCACAGGAAGGTCTTGCTTCTTGACAGAGCAGCAAAACTTATTATCCAAGGCAAGGGTGACAGCACCCCAGGCTGAGGTGCACAGGTGTCTTGGAGAAGGGATCTGTTGGAACAGCAGCATGCTCTAAAAACTCAGCCTCGAGTCCACCCTTCCCTGCAGACAAAGCTAGAATTTACATTCCTTCCAGGATACAGTCCAAACTAACATACGGTCTGCCCTTAAATAGGGAAAAGCTGATTCCAGGATTCCTTCCTTCTTAGCTCTGCCAAGGAAAGTGGAAAAGCAAGTAAACATTACGCTGTCAGTGAGAAGCATTTGAGTTTAATTTCAATGGGACCTTCCACTTAACAGAAGGGCTTCAGAAGGGTCTTGCACCGACTCGAACTGGAGCCTGCAGTCGTCTCGAGCAGGCCGGTTGAATCAATGTCTCTGCTGCCAGCGGCAACTGGGAATCAGCAAAAAGAACAATCCGCTGCTTATCAGGCTCTGAATGTGGAAAAATAAGCTGAAAGAATAACAGTGTTCGTTCTGGTGCTGAGTACGAGAGCACGGCTGAAGTGCAGTTAGAGTGAACATCACTGATTTTTTTTTTGTTGCTTTTGGATTGCTTTGGGCAGTCCTCATGACTGTACGCTGTTGTGTGCCGGGCTGTGGATCAGATGAAGTTCTTTGTTCCCACTGCACAAATGCAGACAGCGCCTTTGTCAATGGGCATTTGTCCTGGCTACATTAAATATGTATATATGCTACTTTTCCAGAATTCAGAGAAATACTCCCCATATTGATCTGTAAAGTATTGCAGGGCTCCACTGTTTCGCAAGGGTACAAACAAGCCACGGTTGAGGAGTCCTCTCGCTTGCGACACTGTGAAAGGATTGGTTTAGAAAATTTGCTCCATCCCACTGCTGAGTGTGCGTGCATAAAGCATGTTTTGTAATCAATTTAAACCTCATTAACACTTAGCAACCTTTCTTTGTGCGTGTGTCTGTTGGGAATCGTTTCTATTCTTAGTTTGTTTTTTGTCATTAATCCATAAAACCATTAATCTGCCTTTTTCTTTCATTTTCAGTTCGGGTTTCCTGTAGAACCTTTCCCTTCGCACCAGAAGCGAACGCCCCCACGTTCGGTTAACACGCAGCTATGCCACTGTGCCCGTTTGCTCGCCTTCCCTCACTGCTCCCTTCCTGCGCTCCCCGTTTCCTTTTAAGCCAGAGTCCGCGCCCTTGGCTGTGCCAGGTTACGGCTCGTGGGACGGACTCGGCGGTAGCCTACGTGGGGCGGGCGAGAGATGCTCGTTGCTGATACCTCCTCCCCTTGGGGCAGCAGCAGGCTGCCGGGTGCTTGTAGGGCGAGTGTCCCCTCTTCCTGGTCCCGCGGCTTTGCGTCTCTCCCTCCGTTTTGCGAGGCTGTAGTGGTGTGCATGTAGTCCGAATGCCACCCCGTGGGGCGGGAGGTGGCTGTCCTGTCCCCTTCTTAATTTGCTGTATCTAACCCCTCATTACCCCCTCTGCTGCCGCGCGTGACTCCAGCAACCTTAAAGGACTTTGTGCCAAACGACGTCCTCGCAGGCCTGGGTCTGAGCCGAACCCTCTAGTCCCCGGGCTCGGGGGATTCTCCAGCTTGGATCCACGGTTTGCAACTAAGTGTTCTCTGAATGCCGCAGGGGTCAGGAAGGATCTCTTGCCTTGTCTCCCTCTCAGTGTGCTGGCCTGGATGCACATCCTGGATCCAATCTCAGGGAAAGCTGGTCACCTTGCTGTACCTACCAGTGTTTGTGAAGAAAGGCGATGTTTCTTTGACTTTCTTCTCAGTGATTCCAACCATTTCTGGGTTTGATGCAAAAAGTGTTACCCGCATTTTTTATTTGGCATCTGTTTAGAGGCGTACAGATGCTGGCAGTTGCTTCTGTTTTTTTGTTATTCAGCAAAAGCCTTGTTTTACTGCAAGATTTGCACTAAAAAGGCAGGCGTTTGGCTCGCTGAGGCCAGGAGTTCACCCTGGCCAAGTGCAACTGTGGTTTGCCTGCAGGTGTCTTCGCTGTGTATTTCTGGATGAGTTTTGTTTTTAAATAAAGACTTCATCAGACAGTGAATTCTGGTTAACACTTACTTCTTTTGTTTTTTGTTTGCCCTTCTCTTACAGTAACCCATGGCTCTGTACTGAGTAATTGCCCCTGAATACAATGGGCTGGAATGGACCTTCATTTACTTGTTAGAGCGGAGGGTCTAATAAAACGTGACAGCATTTCAGCTGTGACCTTCCCATGGTGTTCCCCTTGCCCTCTCCTATGTCCTCATTGTGATTCTCTTTACTGTGTACTGGTGGTTATTGCTTGCATTGAACAATGTCAACTTTGGCCTAAAAAAGGTTTTGGATGCTGCAATTTTAAATCCTACAAATTTTTTTTTTTTTCCCCTACAATTAATGGATTCCCCTTTCTCCTGGTCCCTCTCCACCCAGATAAATAAGGGACGTGGAAATAAGTTCTGTGAGTTATTTTTGCTGGCGAAATAACAACGCAGTTTAAACGTATTTATTGGTGACGTTAAAACGACAGCACCGCCCTGGTTTGATGTTCCCATAGCTGAGAGATGAAACGCTTTTCTCTTTATACTTGGTGTCATTTTCATGGCATCATCTCTCTTTTTAATTTTCCTTTTGCTGGTTCACGCTACCTGCAGACTAGCGTTTCATCCTCGTTTCATTTCGGAGTTGGGTGTTGTGACCCTGCTCCTTCAGCCGTGCCGCGTGCAGGCTGACCTCTCCGTACGTGGGTGAATCCGCGCGTCCTGACCCTGCCCAAAGACCAGGACGCATGCTGCCAAACTGGTCCCACAAAAAAACCCTTCAAATCCTGGGTTTTGGGAAGATGAATGCGCCTCAGAGCTGGCTGCCATAGGTCTCGGTGTTTTTAGTGGAAGGTGCTGCTGAGGATTACTGGGAATGTAGCCTGGGTGATGCCAAAGCCTCCGGAGCGGTTTGTGCCTGTGGCACGTTGGTCTGGCTCGCTGCCCACGGCAGCAGCAGGCCTTACACAGAGCCCAGCTCAAACCACGGTCTGGCCTCCGTTTCTGGCAGTCGAGGCAGTTGGAGCTGCATTGCAACGTCTTGTCTAGGTACTGTTTCACCGTAAATACAGGTTTATTTCCCATAAAAATCTTGGACTGTTCTGTGGGGTTTGGCTTTTTTCTTTTAAGCAAGTTAAAGTAATTTGAGTGTTTACTACTTCTTCTACTGTCGAATGTCATCCTGCTCCCAAAACCAGCCAGTAGCAGTCTGCCATTGATTTACAGATTATCTGCTAAAGAAGCGTTTAATGTGGCTTTTTCTTACCACGCTGCAGGTCACTGGCTGTTCTTCCTGACCATCTGCCTTACTAGAATGTTACTTAAAGTTTACGTAAGGTCTTCTTAAAGACTTGAGAGAAAAAAAGGTTTTTACTTGTGTGATTTCCTTGAGGTGCCACAAGGAGGTTCCGTCTCTTGGCTATTTTCACGTTGCATCTCTTTTTCCTGCTTTTTGAATGTCTTTCTCTTTTTTGCTAATCTTCTGTGTTTTTTCTCTTTTTTTTCCCCTTTTCTCTCTCTGTAGCTTTTTTTAATCTGTCTTCGCCAGCTGCACTGGGTCTGAGGGAGAAGACTGCCACTTCTAGAAGAGTTTAAGGGTGTTCTGTCTGGGGAGGGGGGGAACAAACCTTCAGTGTTAGTGTCTTGGGAAGAAGCTCTTTTACTGACTTGCATGGTATCTCAAGTGTCTTGTAATTCGTGTGACAAGACAGGGAAATAGGGGGGAACTGATTGCCTGGAATGTTGAAGAGCCACAGAAATGTGATGTTTGGACTAACGATGTAGCGAATACATTTTCAAACATTGTTATGGGCATTTTATTTTTTTTTTCTAATTTTGTCTTTAATAATATAAATGTCACCGGCTTCCCGGAGGTGTGAAGCCTAAGGGATTATTTTCAATATGCTGTTGTTGGATTGGTTTTGGAAACTGTGCGTTGGGTCCAAGGAAATATAAACATGGTGCAATTTGCTCTGTTGGCAGCCACGAAATATTTAATTTTAACAAAGAAATAAAGCAAGAAGAACCGTGTGTTTTCATTGGTGTCCTCCTGTGTCTCACCACCTTATTAAACAAGCTCTGTTGGCTGGTGGATGTGGGTCAAGTGGTACTTGTTTGGTTTATTCTAATGAAACCCTCTCGTTCTTTAAAGTTAGAAGAAAGTTCACAGCGTTGGTGGGGGGAGGTGTTGCCGACGCTGCTGTAATAATGATCCTGGTGATCGTCTGAGTCCCCCGTGAGTAGGGTGCGGTGTCCTCAGAGTGTGCTGGAGTCAGCCCTCGCGCTTCTCGCTCCTCCATCCTGCCCTGGTCTGCTCTCTGCATGCTTTTCCGAGCTGCAATCTTCTCTTCCCTGCTCCTCGTTTCATTTCCTTTTTACAAATGGAAGTGCGCGAGAACTGCCCCGGGTTATATATTTCCACGAGAAACGTTAAAGAGCCAGCCCTGTTTAGCCTGATACCTTTCTAACTGCAATGTAAATTTTAAATAAAAAATACGAAAGCCGGTTGGCGTGCTGTCCTGTTTGTTTGCCGCTCGCCCAGCAAGGCGGGCTCTGCTCAGATCAGCCGGGTGCTGGGCCTGGTGTGTCGGAAGAACTTCAGGTGGTCACTGAAAAGAAAACTCAAACTGTTTTGGGTGGGTGTGCAGTTTTGACATCAGTTTCCCTTGCCTTTTGGGCAGGAGCATCCCCACGGTCCTGTCCCCCCTCCTGGTGCTGCTCCGTGCCTGTGTGAAGCCATACGTGGGCTGTCGTCAGCAAGCACCCGGGCAAGTCTTGGCCTGGGGTGAGCCGCACAGGGAGGCTCTCGGTGGGGGCTGCGCGGCTTTCGGTTGGGATGGAGTTAGTTTTCTTCTCAGTAGCATGAGGCTATGTTTGGGGTTAACAACATCCTGATGTTTTTACGCGTTGCCAAGCAATGTTTCCATCAAGCCAAGGACGTTTCCAGTTTCTCATGCTGCCCCTGTGTTCCCAGCTTCGTGGCGAGACACGGGGAGGTGACGCAGCCAGGACAGCTGACCCAGACTGAGCAAAGGGACGTTTCGTGCCACAAGGTGCCATGCTGGGGATACAACATGAGGCTTTTCTGGGGGCTTCTCTCGCGGCTTGGGGCTGGCTGGGCGCCCGTCAGTGGGGGGTGAGCAGTTGTATCCCTTCGTTACACAGTATCAGCAGTAGTAGCATTGTCGTTACACAGTAGTAGTATCGGTATTTGATGTCCTTTATTTCCCATTATTGAGCTGTCCTTCTCTCAACCCACAGGTTTCCTT